CGTCGGCGATCTAGCTGCCTTCTACCGCTACACCAATGAGCAGACCAGCTAACCAGAACTGGCCGATACGACCGCTCCTTTGTTCCGAGGGTGTCAAGATTGTGGAACTATCTACAAGAGGAGGCTTCTTCCAGCTTCTAACCTTAGGCAGCTCAAGAATCGAATCAACAAAATTTCTGCGGAATCCTCATAGCAGCCGCGGTGTCGTGGCGTTTAGGCTTCAGCCTGCGTGGCTGCTTCGGTATAAAAAAATGCCACGATTTGTTGGAGCTTGAAAATTAATCTAATTATCTAATTTAGGAACAGTTTTGCCTCCACCCGTCAACCAACACCTCCATCATGTCCTGGGACTTTTACACAAACAAATTTGATATTATTTTTTGAAATTTACTTAATAACTTTTCTGTATTACAGGTGATTTCATGTAACAATAATTGTTCACATGCCTAGTAAAAATAAATAAGAAAATGGAATATCAGTATTCGTAGAGAGGTTCAAAGCGAGGTATCACGCGACCTCTCAGTTCCATTTACGTAAAATGTTCCAAAATATCACCCAGCTGTCATCTTTTCAGCTTGCTAATCTGACCCGCTCAAAAGATGACTAGGAAGGAACCTTTCTGAGAAGCACTGGTGGTGGCTTCATTTGGCCGGCAAGTTTCTCTTCGATTTCGTTTTTGAATTCTAGTATTAAAATATTCAAGTTAAGGCTAGTTTTTGTCATATCGTTTTAGTACGCGATGTACTCGTAACTAAAAAGAAGATGCGGTCGGCTCGTGGACTGATACTGCCTGTTGCTAATCAGCCGGTGATGCTCGAGATATTCCAGCAGCTCTCGAATGATGCACTTCTCATATATGTTAGGCCTGTAGTTGTAAGGATCGGCTTATATCCTTTTCTTCAGATGGCTGAACGTAAACAAATTTCCATTTCTCTGGGAAAGCACCAGATTCTTAAAATATCTGAAAGAGACGTGACAAGACTGTACAATAGCAGGAATCAAGACGGGCCTATGAGCTTTGTTGATGTCGAGTGACATCTTATGCCTGACGATCAATTTCCGCATAGTGTAGGGGATCTTTAGAATAGACGGCACTAGAGCATTGGGAGTGATGAACACAATCAGGTTAGCCGTAACTTCACCACCATTTCCGCCTTGATCTTCGAGCCGGTTACTGTCTTTCCATCCTGGCATGTAAGGCGTGATAAGCTCCTGTCAATCCGGCGAAATGTAAACCTTTTGGTGACCAAGCTGCATTTCCAACAGCTTTCTTTCTGTGTGCTTCTGAGCATTTCTATTAATTCTAAACCAAACGGCAGGAAATTCAAATGCCTTTCAGTTCCCTTTACGTGCAACGACAAACTTCAACCGCACTAGAATTCTTTTCTGGTGTTGGTCCGCAAAAGTTTTGTCGGCATTGAAGTCAACGATAAAATGGAAGCTGAGATTTAATCCTTCGTATTTTCCCAGAAATCAACCACTCTTCGTACCGACAAAAAATAATGAGCCCTTTCACCACTAAAGCCAAAATGGAGTAATGCTAGCATGAGCGCGCATGCGGGCACAAAACGTGCAAGATAAGACATCGCTACTTTCATCATTGTACAGCGGCTTGAAAAACACGCTATGGTTCGAATTATTCATAACCTCTCCATGAAAATACACTATAGTAATCAGAAATTAGGTTGGAATGATACCGCTATTCTTTCCATAGACGTGTTGTTCGCCCTTCCATAGAGTTATACCTTTCCGCGAGATCTCGCGCTCTATAATTGCGATTCCGTAACGGATGTTGACTTTCAGTATTATGCTACACTCACTACAGTGTTCCTTGAATGATCGATAAAAACATGTTCATTCAAATATCCTCAAAGGAAAAACTCAGGCGCGGTTAAATCCGGTGAATCCGGAATTTAAGTCAAATTGGCTTTCCGCCAAATTACCTGTATCTTATATTTAAAGACTTCATAGACGCTGACGACTCTTTTGAAGTGTGTACTTTACGGGGTGTACCGTTTTGTTAGGGCAAACATTTTTTGACAAAGCTTGCTTGCTCCCGAGTCTCAGTAATTTGAAAGACATCTAGACCAAATATTGAGAAGATTGGATTATAAAGGATGGGTTATCGGTTGGTTTCTTTTTTAAATTGGTACTGAAACTACACTCTTCAATAATATGTAACATTCGATTCTTTATTCAAAAGAATACATCTTACGATTATTTCTGAAAAACAATTTCAGTTAAATGGCTACCGCGGGTGGCATGGCAGTAGTTCATCCTCTTAACCCAATTTTCGATAGTTTGTGGGTCTATTTCATCAATAGCTCGACGGATATTTTCCTTAAGAACATCAATTGTTCGAGGATCGTGTAACAGCGGTCCATGACAGTACCCCATAGGAAGTAATCCATGGGCGTCAAATCACAGCTGAGGGCGGGCCAATGAACGTCCCAAAACGGCTGATAACGCGATGACCAAACTTAGTGTGTAAAGGATCGATTGTTTTACATGTCTCTATAGCGTTCCCCGTTTAAATTCACGCTGTTACCATTTTCGTCTTGGAAAAAGTGGTGACCAATAATCCCTCCACTCCAAAAGGCACTCCAAACAGTTACTCTGTTTGGATGCATTGGATTTTCTATGACGAGGTGGATTTTCAGAGCCTCAAATCCTACAGATCTGATTGTTAACGTATCCTCCCTGATTCAAATGGGCTTCGTCCGAAAAGATGATTTGGCGACCAAAATTGACGTCCGTTTCCAATTGATTTAGAGCCCACTCAGAGAAGCTGTTGTTCGTCTCTGACCGATTCGTTGAGCCTTTATATCATAGCTATTCAACTATCTGCAATCACTGGCCACCTTGAGAGCATTTTCGTGGCACTTTCCAAAATAGCTGCAGCCTTTATTCTCTCGTTTCTTAGATACCTGGTAACGGAATTGCTTAGCTTTCATTCAAATACTAGGTTTTTATCCTTTAATCGTTTCAAATAATTTTTCTTCGAGGGTTTGAATCATAATTTCTTTAACTTGCGCAGCAGTACGTTTATTCAAAAAAGCCTATGTCTCTCAAAGTCACCGGAGGCATATGGGTGAACGTTGAGAAACTGAACTGAATCCAGATCATTGTTTGGAGCCCATTGAGTTGCTTTGCGCCACATGTGAATTTATACTCGCATGAAACTGACAAAATTACCTACTCGCTTCATCATGTCAATTCTCGTTGGCATCTTCAATTATTTTGCAAAAAGAACTATTTTGAGTGCATCTACCTTGCTGGATGCCAAGGTCTTGAAATTGAAATTGTTTGATTGTAGTAACTTATTGCGGCCGTCCTTTGTATGAGTTCCATCTTTTTGAATATTTTGGATGCAGTTGACCATTATCACGTGTCGTTCCTCTAGATATCCTTAAACAGGAGTTCATCAGAGGTGGGCGTATGTGACTTCTCGACAAGTGGAACTTACGAAAAATCTAAATGTGAGGACCATTAGATAATAAACAACAACACTTTTCAAACAATCCCTATAGAATCAATTTGTTGATACGATTATGGCAGGCTAACCACAACAACTTTCGTGCAAATTTTCGTACATACGAATGACATTGCCGCGTACCCGGGCAGTCATGTGGAAATGACAAAAACTAAATCTCAGTGTTTTGGTTTTACATTGTCCAAGCTTCGGGGTTGAATAGCCCTCATTGAAAAATGTTGCAGCATTATTTGAATTTGAGCTGTAGTAATGGAAAATTGACCTTATTATGAACCTTAACGTAAACGTTTTGCCCAATAGTACTGTGCATCGTTTTCCAGAATTACTAAGGCTCAATAATGACCTTTTGCCAAAAATTTGGAATGATATGGCTTATCCTTGGTACTAAAGAATATAAAATATGTCCATTTTCATTCTTTGGTGCGAGGGAATGCTTCATATCAAATTTTTTAGGCCCTAATCCAGAAAAATGAACAGTAATTTTTAAATAGTGGATGTGTTGGATGTGTTATTAACAACTCATACTACGAGCCCCTTTCCACTTCAGTTGGCGCAACTATTGAAATCTTAGTTTTTTCTTATCAAACACAAATAATAAAAATGTAGCCGGGTGTTATAGGTTTAAAATATTAACAATGAATATTTTGATAATATATAGTAGAAAACACCAACGTTATCACTCCCTAATCAAATTTGCATCATAAAAATAACACATGTTGCAATTACAGCATATCAACTTATTTTCATTTCAATGCAGAATAAGTCTATAATGCATAGGTGGCTGTGAAAAATAAAAGCCATGACAATTGTTTTTATTAATCACAGCTGTCAGCATAGGTTTAAAATAGTTTTGGGTAGTTAAGGTTTTCAAAATGGGTAGAGGAAAGGTTATTAGTGAGAAAATTCGGTTACTGATAATTAAATTTTTTAATTCTGGGAAATCAAACTCAGAAATTGCAACTTTGTTAGACTTATCGGGGTACAGTGTGAGAAATATTGTTAGAAGATATAACGTAACTGGTTCAGTTAATATTAAGCCACGATATGTGAAAAAAGTAATATCACAAATGCCGACCGAAGAGCATTAAGAAGAATAATCGTGAAAAACAGGCGTGCCAATTATTTACAATTAAGTGCTCTGTGGAGTGACGCTGTTGGAAGGAGAATTTCAAGGTCCACAACTCATAGAGAGGCCCACAAACTGGGATTTAGCACTTGCAAGGTAAGTTTTCTTATAAAAAAAGTGAAGTAAAAACCCTAAAGCTGCACAACTTGTTTATAGGCCAAAGAAAAGCCACTCTTAACTCCACTGCAAAAGAAAAGTCGGCTTAGATGGGCTAAAGAACATAGACAATGGACACCTCAACAATGGTGTGCAATACAATGGAGTGATGAGGCCTGATTCGAAGTTTGTGTTGGTGACAGTCGCAGTAGAGTTATTCGCAAAAAAAATTAAGCATTCAATGTTGACTGTCTGAAGAGAAAAGTGAAATTTCCAGCATCCATTATGGTCTGGGGCAGTATGTCATCAAAAGGAGTAGGAAAACTTCATTTTATTGATGGAAATGTGGATACAAACAAGTATTTGGCAATTCTGTGTTTCAGCAAGATGAGGCAGCGTGCCACACCTCAAGAAAGGCTATAAAATGGATGGAAGAAAATAATGTACCACTTTTAAAATGGGTTTCTAGCAGTCCAGATCTGTCACCTATTGAAACTTTGTAGCACAACATCCTTTTTTTTTTTTTATACTCCAACTACCACGAAGGCCTAAGGCCTAAGCACCCATTGGGTGCCGTGGGGCTATGGGGGATACATGGGAAAGGGGAAAGGGGAAAGGGGGGACGCCACACGGACTCTGGCGAGGGAAAACGTGTGCATGCAACATGCACACATTCTGGCTCCGCCTACGAGAACCGCCGGGTGGTACCTCCGCGTTCGACAGTCAGAGACCATCTACCACCTACGGACAATCACAACATCCATGGCCAAGAGAAACATTTCTCCTGGGACGGGACTCGAACCCGCACAGCGCACGCCGGCTGATCAGGAGACCGAAGGGTCTACTACTGCGGCCACCGCTGCTGCCTAAAACAAACACACAACATCCATGGCGAAGGCGAGATTCGAACTCGCGGCCCGGCCGGCCGGCTGATCAGTAGCACGACACTCTGACCCACGCGGCCAACCGAGGTCCCGTACAATCACCGAACTGAGACAATAGCTTCAAGAAATATGGGATTGTTTTACACCAAATTTTTGCCAAGACTTGGTTAACACTATGCCACAAAGAATTTCAGCGGTAATAAAAAATAAAGGTGATGTTACCCAATGGTAATCTTTCAATTGTTGTTTTGTTAACTTCGCGCATTTATTCGCACATAGTTTATTTGTTCAGATGTTCTATTAGTTATAGGTCTAAGTGATTTCAAATATGTATTTTTTACGACTAGAGTGTATCTAAAATGGTTTTAAGAAAATAAATTGTTTTAGAAGTAAATAGTTTCGTCATGTTTAGTTTATAAAGGCATATTTTGGTACAAATCTTGAAGTGGGCCAACTGAAGTGGGAAGGGGCTCGTATAATGCCAAAGTGAAAAGTAACGGGCGTTTCTAAACATTACCTTATTGGGCTATCCTCATCGGAGTAAATATGCTTTCTTGGCATGCAGTGTACACGAAGGCTTAAGATCCAAACTGTCGTGGGTACCGTGCTGCTAGAGGGTGGAACAGGGAGACGTCACACGGTCTGGAGAGGGAACACATGTGCAAGCGATATGCAGTCACTCTGGCCCCGCCTTAGAGATGCGCCAAACAGTCCGAGCAAACGACAATCACAACACGCATAGCCAACAGGAAAGGTCTTTTGGGACCAGGATCGAACCCGCGTAGCTCATGGTGACTGAGTGGTAGACACGTAGCATCTCTTATTGACAACGCGCTTCCTTAAACACTATTTCTTTGAAATGTTGTTGCCGCGGTCAAAGCGCTCCATTGTGGAATTCGAGTTTTCAGTGATGCGTCTCAGCATTTCGAGTGGTGTTTAGCGACGACTATGACATTATGGTAACAACCGATATTAGCTGTCTGAAATTCGAGCTCATGACCTTCAGAGCATTTGGTTTCTCACAAGATTAATGGTAAGGACACGCAATTAAAGATGGGAATACCGAAATGCGTGTAGACCAAGTTACCACAGTGATGTCTAGTAACTAAAAAAATAGCTTCCGAAAATTAATGGAACATCATGGATGCATACTTTATTTGGCGGAGACAATTGACAGTTCTAATTTTTCATGATTTTAAGAAAGCGCTTTTGGATGAATCACACATTATAAGGCTGCAAATATTTTGTTCCAGCACCAAACTAGGCAATCCCGACTGGTGACATCCAATGTGGAGGCTGTGGGCAATATGTTTCCAGCCATCTAGAGTATATAGCATCCTAAATGTAGTGCAAACGTTGATATAGAAATCCAACGGGATATGGCATCACTTCTTTGGTCATGGGGTCAGGCCGAGAGTACAAGTCTGTCAAAGTGACATGCATTTCTTTTTCTTGCACTGCTTCGTTCATCAAGTAGAAATCATCAGGTATAACTTTTCACTGGTCGTAAGCCAACATATCGAACCAAGACTCTTATAAGTTTTAAATAGCTACTGATGTATACAGACTGTGAATCTTAAGCCAGAAATTTGTCAACATGGTCCAAATGTGTCAGGCTTGGATCCGCCCCTGACGCCGTCTTGTATAACCAAAAGAAGTACTAATAGCACCTCTCTAGATACTACTTTGACGAGTGCAAAGACATGTTTGTAGCGTCTGTAGGATGTGGTCTCATCGACCTAATGTTGTGATTATATATCTTTAATCGTTGCTAGGTAGAACTGTATCTGCTTTAAAATTTAAAACAAGAATTTTCCAGTGTACCAGAGTTACCTCGGTGCACGCTGCGGGGAGCGAAATACAAAACCACATAATATGCCAAACTACGATGTAATATGACACACTATAATAATCATAATAATAATAATAATAATTATAACAGTAATAATAATAATCATAATAGCTGTAATAATAATAATAATAATAATGATAATAAACGTCTTTATTCGCCAAAAAACAGCAACAGATACACTTACAACACACAATATGTCACAATATACACACTATAATAGATACAACACGAGACAATATCACACAATATTATATGACACAATACGATACAACACAGTACAATATGACACAATATGATACAATATGACCTAGCATGGCATGACGGATTATAGCTTAAATAATCAATTTCTAATACCCCAA